TTCTCCTTCTCCTTCTCCTTCTCCTTCTCCGTGAACTAGCAAACATTCTCCTTCTCCTTCTTCTTCTCCTTCTCCTTCTCCTTCTTCCCGTGAACTAGCAAACATTCTCCTTCTCCTTCTCCTTCTTCCCGTGAACTAGCAAACATTCTCCTTCTTCTTCTCCTTCTCCTTCTCCTTCTTGCCGTGAACTATGGCAAACATTCTTCTTCTCCTTCTCCTTCTCCTTCTCCTTCTCCTTCTCCTTCTCCTTCTCCTTCTTCTTCTTCTCCTTCTCCTTCTTCTTCTCCTTCTTCTTCTTGCCGTGAACTATGGCAACATTCTCCTTCTTCTTCTCCTTCTCCTTCTCCTTCTCCTTCTTGCCGTGAACTATTCTCTTCTCCTTCTTCTTCTTCCCGTGAACTAGCAAACATTCTCCTTCTCCTTCTTCATCTCCTTCTCCTTCTCCTTCTTGCCGTGAACTATGGCAAAGATTCTTCTTCTCCTTCTCCTTCTCCTTCTTGCCGTGAACTATGGAAAACATTCTTCTTCTCCTTCTCCTTCTCCTTCTCCTTCTCCTTCTCCTTCTTGCCGTGAACTATGGCTAACATTTTCCTTCTCCTTCTCCTTCTCCTTCTTGCCGTGAACTATGGCTAACATTCTCCTTCTCCCCTTCTCCTTCTTCTTCTTCCCGTGAACTATGGCTAACATTCTCCTTCTCCCTTTCTCCTTCTTCTTCTTCCCGTGAACTATGGCTAACATTCTCCTTCTCCCCTTCTCCTTCTTCTTCTTCCCGTGAACTATGGCTAACATTCTCCTTCCCCCCTTCTTCTTCTTCTTCCCGTGAACTATAGCAAACATTCTCCTTCTCCCCTTCTTCTTCTTCTTCCCGTGAACTAGCAAACATTCTCCTTCTCCTTCTTCTTCTCCTTCTCCTTCTCCTTCTCCTTCTCCTTCTCCTTCTCATCCTCCTTCTCCCCTTCTCCTTCTTCTTCTTCCCGTGAACTATGGCAAACATTCTCCTTCTCCCCTTCTCCTTCTTCTTCTTCCCGTGAACTAGCAAACATTCTCCTTCTCCCCTTCTCCTTCTTCTTCTTCCTGTGAACTAGCAAACATTCTCCTTCTCCTTCTTCTCCTTCTCCTTCTCCTTCTTGCCGTGAACTATGGCAAACATTCTTCTTCTCCTTCTCCTTCTCCTTCTTCTTCTCCTTCTCCTTCTCCTTCTTGTCGTGAACTAGGGCAAACATTCTTCTTCTCCTTCTCCTTCTCCTTCTCCTTTTTTTTCTCCTTCTCCTTCTCCTTCTCCTTCTTCTTCTTGCCGTGAACTATGGCAACATTCTCCTTCGCCTTCTCCTTCTCCTTCTCCTTCTCCTTCTGCTTCTTCTTCTTGCCGTGAACTATTCTCTTCTCCTTCTTAGGCGGCACGCCCGTCAGTCAGGGCGTGCCGTAACCTTACCTTCTGCTTCATCGAAGCCGTTCTTCGACTTTCGCGTGCTGCTTTCAGGCATGACCTATCACTAGGCATACCACGCACGTGTAGCT